TCTGCTAAATGACTAAAATGTAAATGTAAATGTACGCTTTAAGCATGTAGAAATAGCATTAGACAATAACGACTTAACATAGAAATGAAACTTGACGCATGTAAATACCTCTGTCAAGTACAGACAAGAAGATCATCTGACACGTTCCTGCCATTGACATGTATAGAATGTCTTCAAAAGCAAGTTGGATGTCATCCTGGACTCCAAAGCTGCATAGCAACCAAAGCAAAGCAAGACAGCCTTTATAGGTAACAACATATAATTAAAATTATGACAGACTATAAAAAGTGACTGCACGCTGTAACAAGTTCATAACTGCTAATGGGTCTGTATGGCAGTATAGCCATATCATAGTAAATGTGGGACAATGGTAGCCATTGGTAAAAGAGGATGGCTTATGTTTGAAATACAGATTCTCTGGGTTCCAGGGTGCCCCTGATGGAAAATCTGACATGGTGTCAGTTCAATGAATACTCCATAGCTGCTCATGACTTCCTGTATATGCAATGATCCCACTCATTTAGTATGACTGGGGTTCATTAAAATGTAATCACTGTGAAATAAATTCGACATCACACATCTGTATCCAAATGGATGAGTTGATGTCTAATTTCTGCTGCTTGTTCATGCTTGATGTGTTTGAGACATACAGTGATTGCAATCCCAGCAAACTTGGAACATACCCAGAACATTAGCTAAGATTCCCATTAAGTTCTAGATAGGGTTTTAGCTGAAATGTGGATGATAACACCCCCCCCCCCCCCCCATAAAATAAAATAAAATAACAGTAATAATATCATTAGAATGTTCTCCTAACATTCACTAAAATGTTGTGCACAACATCTAGAACAACCAACATTCCCCAAAAGTTCTCATTAGGTTTCCAGGTAATGTAATAACAAAATGTACCAAAATTGGTCCTGTTCCCAGAACATTTGTTGTGGTGGTGTTGTTGTCCTCAGTGATATGTTCCCAAAACACAAAAACTGTCCAGTTGTGAGGATGATTCCATAATGTTTCTTTTAGGGTGCAAAAAACATTCACCTGATGTTGAAAGAAGGTTCACAGAACACATTTTGTCTGTTCTTTAAAGGTTCCCATAATGTTTCATTAGGTTGTGTGAACAGTCTGGTGAGAATATTGTGGGAACATCACAAAATATATATTCCCAAAACACAGAAACTGTCCAGTCCGGCTGATTCTACAATGTTTATTTTAGGGTGCAAAAAACATTCACCTAATGTTTCAAGAACCTTCCTAGAACACATTTAATCTGTTCTTTAAAGATTCCCAGAATGTTGTATTAGGTTGTGGGAACAGTGTGGGTACGTTAAAAGAGAGAGGTTCCCAAAACACAAAATATTCGCAGTGGTGTTGACATTCATACAATGTTTACATTCCCCTTAATGTTTCAAGAATATTCTTGTGATATTCACTAAGGTTGCACAGAACATTCCCACAATGTTGCATAATGTTCCACAATTTCCAAATAAGTCAGTTTTTATGACATTCATAGCATATTTGTTTTAGGTTTAACATAATATTCTATTGTTGTTCACACAATATACATTTTACCTTGTCTTGGAGGTCCTCATAGCATTTCAATAACATTTAGAATATGTTATATTTAAGTTTTACCTAATATTAATATAACATTCTCAGCATGCAAATGTGTAGCTCCTTAAAGCATAAGCAAGCAGATTGGAATATATATCCATTATGTTTCTCTCCAGATTTCTGACTGGATTTATAAATCTGGACAAAATAAAGACATCCTCTCTTTTAGTATTTCACAAAATAAATTATCCAAAAGAAACATGGTTAAAAATTGTGGGATTGAACCTACAATCTTTGGGTATGCAACCAGATCAATAACCCTCTGTGCCACCATATGGTCAATCAGGATACAGAACACATTTTCTGAGTTATTAAAATGTTCCCATCCTCTTCATATGCTGTGAACTTTTATGATTTAGCTCCTTGCTATTGAGCTTTTTTGTTGTTGTTGACAATTTTAATTTAAAACAATAAAAGTAAGGTATTTAATTGTTACCCAGAAATGATTTGATATTGAGATAAAAACGGCTGCATTAAATCAATAAAAGATTATTGCATTGAACCTCAATTTGTTTTTGAATATTTATTTTTCAGAATGGGTATTAAGTGCATTTGTATCTGTTTTGATTGAAATTAAGAAAAGGTCAAATTGTTTTCTTATTTAGTTTGAAGGTTCATTTAAGAAGCATATGAATACACAAGAATACAAGTTATTTAAAGGAAGCTCTATCCAACATTTCATAAGAAGGCAAAGAAATAAAATAAAACATAGTGTTACAAGTACACAGCATAATAACTCATAAATTGTGTTCTGTGTCCAGATTAGACTGAAAAAAATACTCACTATCACAGTTATACTCTGGTGGTGGAGTGGCCACGGGCGTGCAGCGTTAATGATGAGACAAAGATTGCAGGTTCAAGACAAACAAACAGTGAAATTGAGGCTCAGATATAATCTACTAAAAGAGAGGATGTCTTTATTTCGTACAGGTTTACAAATCCAGTCAGAAAAACTGAATTTAGACTAAAAACGCACCCGATATAATTCCTACTTTGAGATGCTTGATATGGTACCTATTGTCTTATTTTTCATGATCTGAAAAGCAAAAGGGATCCTAGATCAGCTCTCTTAGTCTTGGAAAACTGTATATGGACCCAGAAGTACGTAGCATATTGTCACGGTTTCGGCCGAGGCTGCTCCTCCTCCTTGCTCGGGCAGGCTTCGGCAGTCGTCGTCCCCGGAGTACTAGCTGCCACCGTTGTATGTTATCGATGTTTGTTTGGTTTTGTCTTCCTTGTTCACCTGTTTCCTGTTAGTGTTAATTATGTTCCCTATATGTGTCTCGTTTTGTTTGTAGTGAGTTGTGTGTAATTGTTCCGCCTGTCCGTAGGTGCTGGTATTTTTCTCTATTGTGTTTTAGAGTCCAGACGCACTTTTGCGTATTGCTTATGCATTGGAGTGTTTTTGCGCACTGTTGCGTAATCGCTCGCCTCCTTGTTTTGTTGAGGCCCTTTTCTTTGTAATTTCGTGTCCTCTGTTGGAAGTAGCTTCTGTGTCCTGCGCCTGACTCCTACACCACATCCACATCAGCCACTGACACATATGAAGAGGATGGGTGAAGTGATGGTGAATAACCCAGTTACCAGTATTTCTCTGGGTTAGTTATGTCTAAGAAGGCTAAAAAGGGTGCATGGAATTTCTGATTGACAATATTGCCATGGCTATATACTGAAAAAAGTTGCAAGAGAACTTCCCTGGTGGTGCAGAGGATAAAAGACCTGGTTTCAGCCAAACATTGCAGGTTCAAACCCCACATATGCAAATTGTCAGCATGTGAAGTGTAAAACATATGGTTGTGTCTGTAAGATTAAATGCTTTTCAAATGTCCTCCAAGACAAGGTATAATGTATATTGCGTGAACATCAATGGAATATTATTTTAAACCTAAAGCAAATATGCTATGAACGTCATAAAAACGGACTTATTTGGAAATTGTGGAATATTGTGCAACATTGTGGGAATGTTCTGTGCAACGTATGTGATTATCACCAGAATATTCTTGCAACATCCCAGAAAAGTCCCATGAATTAATTAGGTGTTCTGTCAACATTCTTACAACATTATAGGAATGTCCTCTGCAACCTAACTTAAACGTATGAATGTCATCACAACTGAGCACATTTTGTGTTTTGGGAACCTATATCTTGTAATGTACCCACGCTGTTTCCACAACCTAATTAAATGTTCTGGGAACCTTCAAAGAACTCAGAAAGGCTGTTCTGTCAACGTTCTTGCAACATCAAAGGAATGTTTTGCGCACCCTGTTACTAACATTATCTGAATGTTAGCACAACTGGATCGTTTTAGTGTTTTGGGATCCTATCTCTTGTCATATCCCCACAATACCCCCACAACCTAAAGAAACATTATGGTAACCTTTAAAGAACACACTAAATGTGTTCTGGGAACGTTCTTGTAACATCAGGTGAATGTTTTTTGCACCCTAAAAGAAACATTATGGAATCATCCAAACAACTGGACAGTTTTTGTGTTTTGGGAACATATCACTGAGGACAACAACACCACCAATCTTGTCAAGAGGGTTCAACAGCATCTCTACTTCCTACGGTGGCTGAAAAATTTGACATGCCACCCCGGGTCTTCTCCAAATACTACCGCTGCACCATCGAGAGCGTTCTTCCGGTTGCCTCACGGCCTGGTACGGGAATTGCTCCGTGCATGACAGCAAGGCCCTGGTGGTGAAGACGGTCCAGTACATCACTTCCACCTGCTCTGTACATTCCCCCCCAGCTCCTCTAATTGTATCTCCTGTTGGTGATTTACGTCTCCTGTTTTAGAGGGTTGATTTCAGGGAAACTAATTTTCATTGGCTATCCTGTGAGGAAAAATACAGTATTTTGAATGGACTACTCAGGATGTTATACATTATGAAGAGAATATTCATAGGAAGTGTTATCAAGTATATTTTTTTAGTTTTAGTAATGATTATAATTACTTTATAAGAAGAAAAACATTGTTACCAAACCAACACTACAAACTAAAATAAAAGTTTTCAATAATAACCTTTCCATTTTATTTTAGTACCAATCATAAAAAAGAAGTGTTATGCCTAGTATAAAAAGTACCTGAAATATTACTTGGAAACCACTTTAACTTGCTAGGATCTTGTAACTGGAGGCTGCCACTTCCTACTAGTCTCTCCTCCCACTCATAAGGCCGCAAAGCTTATGTCCAACCCCCAGATACATGATGGCCATTTGTCCCTTGGTCCTTCCCGGTTGCAAAGGAAATTAGCGTAAATGCTTTGCCTCTTCTTTTTCCATACATTCCCCGAAATGACACACCTTTTTCTTAGTCCACACCCCCACAGTCCACACCCCCTCAATAAATCCTGTTGCACCCCAACCGCTTCACTTATTTGGGACAGGCACCGACCAGCTCCAACTTGCTTCACTTTGGTACATCCAACTACAGAAAAACAGAGACAATGGAAGGAACCCAAGCCCACACCAAAGTGCCATCCTACCTGGGATGGTCCATTTTCAACACTTTATGCTGCTGTCTCCCAATTGGAATTGTTGCAATAATTTGCTCATGCAGGGTAAGATATCAAAAATTCTGACAATCAATTATTCAGCAGTTATAAAGGTATTTACAAAAGCTTGTGCTGACTAACTATTGAATAGCTTGTGTGATTTTTGAAGTGGATTCTATGGTTATCTAAGTGAAAGTGGGATAATGCATTGATTATCCCCCATTGTGTGTTTGAAGGCGGATAAAGCAAACGCAGTTGGAGAGGCAACAGCGGCAGCAGAGGCGTCCAGGATAGCTAAGATCCTCAACATCGTTGGATTGGTCATTGGGATTGTGTTGCTCATCATTATTGTTGCAGTGAAACTCACTGGAGGCGCGTGAAAAGGGAGGATATGTTTTTGTACCATCTTTTGCCCTTTGTATTCCTTTTTGCGACTTCATACAACACACCAGCCCAGACCTGCCCTGATGAGGACCAGCTGTGCCCCTAACCGAGCCCCAATGAAAACAAACGCCCTGCAAGCAATTAACAGACCAGCGCTTGTGCTCCATTCTCGGAGACAAATAGGTAGAACTTTTTTTTTTTAACTGAGGATGTTGCAGTTGCAGCTTTGAGAAAAATATTAAGCTTCCTGACTGTCAAATGTAATAATAAACACATGAATCCGCCAACATTCATGGTCTTTATTTATTTCCAAGCACATTTGAGACATAGAAATGTTGATACAAGCAACACTGATCATTGTAAAAAGTTTATAAATCAGTCTTTGATTTTTTTAAAAGGTTTTAAGACTTATCTGTCCTCCTACAGTGTCCTGTGTCAATACTGTGAGACCAATTTTCTAAAACTTAAAACATCTACTACTATCTAGCTTTTAACGCCACAATATGGAGTCTGTGTTTCAGCCCAACAGCAGCCCCTGCCATTTAGGCTGGAGGGTGGAGCTGAAGAAATTCAACCACTCTCAAATTCATACACTCAGCTATGGATGCAAGGATTATCAAAAAGATTGATATGATAGTTTTAAACATGCGTATTTCTTTAAGTTATACAATTACTATTAACAAAAACTAAGATGACATAAAAAACAAACATGGAGCAATGCAATCTATATTTTGGATTATGATAGAGTAATGCAGTTGCACTAAGTTCATAAGGCATTTATAAGTTATATTCCTCAAGAACTAATGGGTATTCATTGATATGGCCATTGAACAGCAGGAAATGCCTGTAGCAGACAACAGCAACTGATGATCCTAAAAATAGATCCTGAAGAAGGCACAGTGATGCCGAAACGTTGGTGTTTTACCCAATAAATTACTGGGAGTTAATATAGAGTGTGCGACTCTATTTTTATAGCTTACAGTTTATTCGCCATTAGTCAGCACCTCTACACTAAATAATTTTCTCTGGGTGTGCGCCAGCTCATGCTTTTTATTAGCCAAAAAATTGTCTCAACACAAATAGGCCTACACACATAGGGTTGAGGGACACGTCCTGTGCCGCCCTCCCAGCATTCTGGTCCCAGTGCCAAACCTGGTTGCAGTCTTTTGTGTTTTGTGATGTCATGGTCAGGTTATATACAGATTGTAAAAGGATGTGTGTGCGCATGAAGAACCTCTCGATCACATTTCCAAGGGGAAGGTTTTGGTCTTTCGTCAGTTGCCAGTCCATACACAACTGTTCTTTCCAAGGAGAGCAGCCATAATGAATTGTACTCAGTACTGTATGTGAGGGGCTATCAACCTTTTCCGTTCCGACGTTTACTAACACACATTTCAAAAAACCGGGGACCCCTACATCATGTCATAGGATACATCATCACCCCTACATCATTGTGACGCACGTCCATGGTTCGGAGCCCCGAGCTCATCTCTCTCAACAACCTTTCAACATGGAGGAACACCGACCACTCCCTGTGCTTCTGCAAGTGTCCCTCCACCTCCTGCTCATGGAAAAGACATGAAACAGACATGGAACATTGTAATTGCCAAAGATTCACTGACTGAGGCTAATGCATGCGTGACAGATGTTTTCCATCACCATCTAGAAATAAACTCGGTATCACTTTATTTGGAAAGGCAACATTAGATGATTTATTGATCGTTTCTAGCTATCATAATCATTGAGATAAAATGCCAGCAAGACATTGCGCTAACGTCGATCCCCCGGAGAGAAAGTACTTACTTCCTGTGAAAGGAGCCCCCAACTGGGCCTCTGAAGCCTCTCCAGCAGGGAGGTGGGGTTGGAAGAGGTGGAGTGGGAGTCCCATGGCATGGAGCTCTGTGGAGCAGCACCCTCCCTACCCATTGAGGACCTCCCTAGTCTGGCCTGGAATAGCTCACCCAGACATGCTTGCAATACCTAAGAAAGAAACACAGTAACATATTACTGAAGTCTGCCGTTATAATGCTTTATAACTTATTGTATGAGCTGTCACGTTGTCTAATGATTAGAAGACAGGTGCAGGAACACGTATTAGGGTTTTTATTACTCCACCCAACACAAACACGTATATATACAGTGAGGGAAACAAGTATTTGATCCCCTGCTGATTTTGTACGTTTGCCCACTGACAAAGAGATGATCCGTCTATAATTTTAATGGTAGGTTTATTTGAACAGTGAGAGACAGAATAACAACACAAAAATCCAGAAAAACGCATGTCAAAAATGTTATAAATTGATTTGCATTTTAATGAGGGAAATAAGTATTTGATCCCTCTGCAAAACATGACTTAGTACTTGGTGGCAAAACCCTTGTTGGCAAACACAGAGGTCAGACGTTTCTTGTAGTTGGCCACCAGGTTTGCACACATCTCAGGAGGGATTTTCTCCCACTCCTCTTTGCAGATCTTCTCCAAGTCATTAAGGTTTCGAGGCTGACGTTTGGCAACTCGAACCTTCAGCTCCCTCCACAGATTTTCTATGGGATTAAGGTCTGGAGACTGGCTAGGCCACTCCAGGACCTTAATGTACTTCTTCTTGAGCCACTCCTTTGTTGCCTTGGCCGTGTGTTTTGGGCCATTGTCATGCTGGAATACCCATCCATGACCCATTTTCAATGCCCTGGCTGAGGGAAGGAGGTTCTCACCCAAGATTTGACGTCCCTTTGATGCGGTGAAGTTGTCCTGTCCCCTTAGCAGAAAAACACCCCCAAAGCATAATGTTTCCTCCTCCTCCAAACACGGCGAGTTGAGTTGATGCCAAAGAGCTCGATTTTGGTCTCATCTGACCACAACACTTTCACCCAGTTCTCCTCTGAATCATTCAGATGTTCTTCAGACGGCCATGTATATGTGCTTTCTTGAGCAGGGGGACCTTGCGGGCGCTGCAGGATTTCAGTCCTTCACGGCATAGTGTGTTACCAATTGTTTTCTTGGTGACTATGGTCCCAGCTGCCTTGAGATCATTGACAAGATCCTCCCGTGTAGTTCTGGGCTGATTCCTCACCGTTCTCATGATCATTGCAACTCCACAAGGTGAGATATTGCATGGAGCCCCAGGCCGAGGGAGATTGAAAGTTATTTTGTTTCTTCCATTTGCGAATAATCGCACCAACTGTTGTCACCTTCTCACCAAGCTGCTTGGCGATGGTCTTGTAGCCCATTCCAGCCTTGTGTAGGTCTACAATCTTGTCCCTGACATCGTTGGAGAGCTCTTTGGTGTTGGCCATGGTGGAGAGTTTGGAATCTGATTGATTGATTGCTTCTGTGGACAGGTGTCTTTTATACAGGTAACAAGCTGAGATTAGGAGCACTCCCTTTAAGAGTGTGCTCCTAATCTCAGCTCGTTACCTGTATAAAAGACACCTGGGAGCCAGAAATCTTTCTGATTGAGAGGGGGTCAAATACTTATTTCCCTCATTAAAATGCAAATCAATTTATAACATTTTTGACATGTGTTTTTCTGGATTTGTTTTACACAAAAGGGATGTAACCCAAACAAAGAGTGAGGTGTAACCTTTACACAACACACGGGACGAGACCCATAATAACAAGCGCATAATACACGTTACTCACGAGACCAACGGACATGGGACAATAATCGACAAGGACAATGGGAAACAGAGGGTACATATATACACATACTAATCAGGGGGAATGGGAACCAGGTGTGCGTAATGAGACAAGACAGTCCGGGGTTGGTGGTAATGATCCATGTCAGTGACGCCTAGAAAGCCGGTGACGTAGACCTCTGGGAACTGGTGAACGGAATGAGCAGCAGTACCGGGGGGATCCGTGACATAAGCCTTTAAAAAATGTGTTATTATTATAACTTGTGGTATCACTTTACTTGACGAACCTTCTCATGAAGACTTATATCGCCTCATCAACATATTCATACTGTAGGACCTTATAGATGCAGTCATAGAGCATTATGAAACTATAATAAATATAAATTGTCTTGAGTGTGTATGATCCCTTTATAATGTCTTATCACAATCTCCTAATGATCATAACATATTATAAGGCTTGTTATAATTGAAGGAGAAATTGACGTGCTCCAATGGCGGTTGGTGCCGTTTAAGATGAGGAAGGACTATTTTTTTTAATGAGCATGGCCTTATTTCTATTACAGCATAATGGATGACTGTCATTCATATTCCATTCACCCACTCAATGTAACATCGATAGGTTTAGGCTACTACATGATACTCAAATTTTCCCTTTACCCATCATGAGGCTGCTACAACCTAGCCTATGAATTAAAGTTTACAACATAGGTGCACAGGTCGAGAAAAATGTGACTAATCAAGGTGACAGACATTGACACATTCACTACCGCCTTGCACACTCTTGCCTGCATCTAGCTGATCTAGAGTGTAATAATTTGTCCAACAGTTGCAAACAAGAATTTCTATTGGACAAATTCAGGTATTTTACGTTCCATTTGCTTCAGTTTAAGAAACTTTTTAACAGAATCGGCCAAATGAATGCACCCCTGATCACACGCAAACACAGTTCACTTTCATAGCAGCCACATACAAACAGCATGATCCCTTTGATCGTTGTTTTCCTTCTCGCATCTACATTCTCTCCTCCTTTCACCTTTTCCCTTTGCTTGTGGACTTCAGTGCACATCTCTCTCTCGCATCTCCTTCATTTTTGAATAAATTACTTTGTTCAAAACTGTTCAGAAACTATTGTCTTTCTCTCTCTTTGATTCAACTACTCACCACATTTTATGCACTGCAGTGCTAGCTAGCTGTAGCTTATGCTTTCAGTACTAGATTCATTCTCTGATCCTTGGATTGGGTGGACAAAGCATTGTACCACTCACATATTTTCAAGCATGGTGGTGGCTGCATCATGTTATGGGTGTGCTTATCATCTGCAAGGTCTAGGGAGTAGAGCTAAGCACAGGCAAATTGTTAGAGGAGAACTTGGTTCAGTCTGCTTTCAACAGATGCTGGGAGACAAATTCACCTTTCAGCAGGACAATAACCTAAAACACAAGGCCAAGAGATTGAATGCGATTGAATGCTCCTGAGTGGCCTAGTTAAAGTTTTGAATTAAATCAGCTTGAAAATCTACAGTATGGCAAGACTTGAAAATGTCTGTCTAGCAATGATCAACAACCAACTTGACAGAGCTTGAAGAATTTTAAAAAGAATAATGTACAAATACTGTACAATCCAGGTGTGCAAAGCTCTTAGAGACTTACACAGAAAGACTCAAAGCTATAATCGCTGCCAAAGGTGATTCTAACATGTATTGACTCAGGGGTGTGAATATTTATTTAAATTAGATATTTCTGTATTCCATTTTCAATAAATTAGAAAAAATGTCTAAAAACACGTTTTCACTTTGTCATTATGGGGTATTGTGTGTAGATGGGTGAGAAAAATATATATTTAATCCATTTTGAATTCAGGCTGTAACACAATCAAATATGGAATAAGTCAAGGAGTATGAATACTTTCTGAAGGCAATATAGATGACATCAATGTAGTACTGCTTCTTTCTTTTTTCGCAATCATTATTTACACAAATTATTGATATACTGTTTTATACCTTGTTTTACTAGCTTCACAACAAAAATTTTTTTTTTTACAAAACAAAGAAAAACAACTGTTGCTCACAGGAAGCAACCTAACATACGTTTTTCATTCAGCCCTCTAGGGCTCTCTGTTTGTAGGGCACGGATATAATATGCCTCTCTGCAACAGCAATTACTCTCCATCACCTTCTGTCTTAGGTGGCTGTACAACTTTTATGCCCTAAAACCTCAGTCCCACCGCATTAACACTAGAACCGCCATAGGCCAACGGGCACTAAGGAGTACAGAGTTTTCACCCTCACCCGCCCGTCCCGCTGGAAACTTCTTTCTCAAATCTAAGGATCCGAATCACGTTCTGCGGATGTGTTATTTTACACACACATTCACATTTTTCTCTTTACTCACCCTCTTCTGAACCCTCAACCAATTTGATCGATATGATGATGTAGCCTATGTCTGTGCCTCATATTTCTGAACAGCTGCGATTTGAACAAACGTTCCAAAAATATATATGAAGGCTGTCTGTGGTAACGGATATTGCCATAGCACAAGCAAGACGCAGTCTACACATTGCATTGGGGCAAAACAATTAGCATTTTGTGTGATGATTATGCTGCGATATAGCCAGCAGTCTGCCTCCCGCTTAGCCAATGTCTATCACTATTGACGGCCTGTCTGTGTCTTGCTTGTTTGATATGCTGTGTAGGCTACATAGCTGCATGCAAATAGCTGCATGTAACTCCCCTCCTGAAAAAAAATAACATACAATTGCTAGACAACCTGTTTGTGTCATGCTTATGTTTGCAATAGCCTACTTTTACAACAGACAAATAACTAAGTTTGTTCAAACTGTTTTGTGTACAAGCAGCAGCGGAGTCACAGAGTGTATGAGCACTGAGCAGCAACTGAAAGGAGGTAGGCTAGTGTATCCCACATGCGCAGAAATCTCAGTATTTTCTGGGTTCCAGAAAATCCAAAACTGCAGCCACCGTTAAACCATCTGCCAAAAAAAATTATGCTTCTTGCTCCTTGAATGACTTTTCCTAAATATTTATATTTTACATTGCTCAGTTCTCAGAACTGTACAATCACAAACAGAAAAGTATTTAGAGGCTGTTTACCAGTTTCTTTTTTTCTTTCTTTATTTTTTTTTTGCTATTGCTACCTTAAGGGGCCAAGGCAAACGTACTGAAGGGTGTTGGTACCCAGGCGCTAATGCGTCTCTCCTCTCACTGAATGAATGACATCAATGGATGAATTGGTGATAGAAACCAGATAGAAACTGATAATTGTGCTTGTGACTTCACAATTGAATTTGAGGGGAGGACGGCTCATAATAATGGCTGGAACTGAGCAAATGGAATGGCATCAAACACATGGAAACCATGTGTTTGATGTACTGTATTTGATACCATTCCACAAATTCCGCTCCAGCCATTACCACAAGCCTCCTGTGAGGAGAACAATAGTGATGTTTGAACTGTCTGATTGTGCAGTACTTGTAACTGTCGTTGTGGACTTCGTTTTTGGCCAATTTCCTCTGTCCTGGCACCCCAAATGGTGGAACAAGCTTCCCCCTAAAGTCAGGACAGCGGAGTACCTACCCATCTTTCAAAACGTCTGAAACCCTACCTCTTTGTTTAGAAACTTAAATAACCCCCGACACTGAGTATAACATAAAACATGTGTAGTTTACAATGGTAATCCGAAACAAACAAATGGACGCACTGACAGCATTGAAAATGCCTGACTGCAGAATTTAGATGAGCTGGAGTCGAATGGAGGATCGGATTTTGAGCTTGTAATCAGAGTTGCCGATGAAGAGTCTTCATCTGATTCTGATGTTGACTTCGAGCCTCCGCCTCCGGTGCCTGAGCCTCGTCGCAGAAAAACCAGAACAGGGCCAACTGAGACGGTTATCCCAACTGTCATGGTGATACAGAAGTCTCTGACGGATGGCACGATTTGGGTAGAAACGAGTGACGAGAGCGCAACAGGAAGATGGCCTTTCCAGAATATTCTCACAGAGAGAGCAGGCCCTATACGTCACGCAAAGAGACAAACTGCCAGCGCACTCTACAGTTTTCTTTGCTTATGTGACATGCAGATGTTAAAGCACATCAGAGATTGTACTGTCGCTCATGCGCACAGAAAAGTAAACAGTACGTGGGTGGGACATGTATATGGATGAACTCAAAGCATTTATTGCACTCTTGTACTCTATATCTGTGGGGCACACAGCAGAAAGAGCAGGGATGTGGAGTCATTTTGTTCTGATAGATATGCAACCGCTTCAGAAGCCCTGTTTATACCTGGTCCTAACATGCGTCCTTTGTCCTGATCTTGTCCACATTCTGATTGTGCCCACAAGTGTAGGCGATTAAAAGACACATCGTGATCTGATTGTGATTAAAACTTCCTGACCACCTCCAGAGGTAGTCAGGGATGCATTGTGTCTGGATATATTAGTAGTGTAGATGGATCTGGACAGTGAAACCATATAAATCATAATGAATCACAGGTGGCACCATTGACTTATGGCATTAATATTTGTCTTAAAATAAATTAATACATTTTATTTTGAAAAACAATATCTGTCAAATTATTTGCATAAAGGGAAATCTGGTCACAATGTGGACACAGTGGATGGGTAAGAGACACATCTTAATACCATGTGTAGCTGCAACAGATAATATGTGGGCACAATCAGAATGTGGACAAGATCAAGACAAAGGACGCATTCTTTACCAGGTATAAACATGGCTAGAGAGATTATGCTACACCTGAGTTTTGATGACAAGGAGACAAGACCGCAGACAGACAGGTCTGCCGCTCTCAGACACCTGGAAAAGTTTTGTGAAGAATTACATTGCTTGTTACAAGCCAGGAGAGAACATAACTGTTGATGAGCAACTGTTCCCAACCAAAGCTCAGTGTCGTTTTACCCAATACATGGCCAACAAACCAGACAAATGTTTATTAAAGTTTTGGTTATGCCGAAACCAAGTACTTGCTCAATGGCTTTCCATATCTGGGGAAAAATTAAACAAGGCCAGCGGTGAGCAATAATCTGAGACTGTGGTTTTGAGACTCATTGAGCCGTACATGGGAGAAGGCAGAATGAGTGGTAAAGCAAAACGTTTCTGTGGAAAGCAACTAAGCCGTTTTGGAGGTTTGAAAATAGATCGATTAAAACAGACCGGAACAGCTTCCATTCCCACTGAAAGGTCACTTCTGAGCAGTGTGGCTCAGCACAGCTTGCAAAGATCTGTCATTTCCAATTGTTTGAGGCAAACACTTGCAGCTCACATCTTGACATTAGAAGTCATGCAAAATGTAATCAGCTGTTTTTAAGAATGTAACTGTAATGTAAACTGTACATTTCATCTGGGTTGATTACAGTTACTTAATTTTTGTAATGTAATTACCTAATCCCTGTTACAGGTTATCCGTTTCTACCCAACCTCCCGAGTGGCGCAGTGCTAGCTGTGCCACTAGAGATCCTGGTTCGAATCCAGGCTATGTCGTAGCCAGCTGCGACCGGGAGACCCATGGGGCGGCGCACAATTGGCCCAGCGTCGTCCAGGGTAGAAGAGGGAATGGCCGGCAGGGATGTAGCTCAGCTGGTAGAGCATGGCATTTGCAACGCCAGGGTTGTGGGTTCGATTCCCACGGGGGCCAGTATGAAAAAATATATATATAATAATGTATGCACTAACTGTAAGTTGCTCTGGATAAGAGCGTCTGCTAAATGACTAAAAGGTAATGATACAGTCACACTTGTCACACACATAAACACAAACAAACACATTATGTCATCTCCAGACAGTATTTCGGGATAAGACAGAGGCTACGTCTCAAATCACACCCTATTTCCTAATATAGTGCACTTCCTTTGAGTAGTGCACTATGTAGAAAAAAGGTTGCTATCTGGGACACAGGTGGAGTTTGGCAGCACCTTGAAGAACACCCGTTGGAAGGCGAGACTGGAGTCAACGCTCATGTCCCCAACAGCGACGTGTGACAGAGAAGAGGAGCAGAAAGAATCCTCGGGCTGACTGCAGTCTCTGGTGACGCACAAACACTGTCTGCTCAGCCTCCTACCAACACACGACATCAGTTAGCAGCAAACAGATGTGGCACAGATGTTAACATCACAAACATCAGACGCTAAACTGCAAGATTCAGAGCTGTTGTTCAATCCTAAAGGGAAAGATTTTAGTGGTGTTGATTATCATGTTTCTGTACAACATGCACACTGTTCCCCAATGCATATTTTATTCCAAAATATAAATGTCACCTCTCTTTCTCTTTTGCTCTCTCTCATTTATTCATACAAGCACACACACACACACACACTCACACTCACACATCCATGCATGCACGTACACACACACATACACACAGCGGAAATTGGGACATCACCTGATAGAAGAAGGAATTTTGGAAGGGGCTGTATTTGTAGTTATTGGATGGAAGACTAGTTGCTATCTGGAGTAACACTGCTGGAGTCTATGAGAGGAAAAGTATTGGCAATTGGTGCTAAAAATCATTCACACTGACAGTAAAGACCACGTATAAATGATTCATTCATCTCCTTTTGACCGGAAAGATGAGTTGAACAATGCTTTGAACTATGACCCATCACTAACCTCTCTCAGTATGTGGGAAAGAAAGTGAATGACTAACCAGTTTGAGAGTATGTAGTGTTTGCAGTAGGAATAGTCCATGCTGGTAGACCAGGAACTTTATGGGATTAAGAGTATTTGGGTCGAGAAGGAGCAGCTCTCCTTCACACTCCCACTGTGCATTCAGATAGTCAATAAAATAGCTTCCTCTGCCTGAAATACAGAAACAATCCATAAATCCAGTTGCCCATTTCTGTTTGCTGGGTTATCTATTCACACTTCATGTAGCACAAGTAGTCTAGGAACTCTCAAAGGTTGTGTATTACCACAATTGAAACTAAAGATTTTAGGTCACAGACTTAAAAGTAAGTAAAGTTCTATTGAGGGTTGTGGTAATCATTACCAAAGCACTAAAGCAGTCGTTAACAGGGGATTGTCTTTTTGGCAACGGCTAATTTGTCCTCTCTACTTTTGTCTTTTGCTTGTTTTCACTTTGATTAAGAAATGTTTCTAGTTCCTTCACAACCACAGCTGGTTGAGATTTTCCCTGAACAAGTGGTCCGGTTTGGCCTTTTGGTTGCATTTTTGTTGTGCAATTTCATCACTCATTTCATAGTCCGACTGACAAAATAATATTTTTATGATTCTATGGATTTTCTATGGTTTTCTCAGCTTGTCTCATCTAGCTACCTTAAGATGAATGCACTAACTGTAAGTCGCTCTGGATAAGAGCGTCTGCTAAATGACTCAAATGTAAATGTAAACAAAGACCGCCAAAGGGAGGGGGATAATGACTCACGGTGTTGAGAAACCTCGAAGGATAAGAAGTTATATGTCGCTATGTCAGACACTTTAGCTGCTTTTTTCCAATGGTGGTGGGGTGATTTGATTATGATGGATGGTCAGTGTTGAGGAAGCTACACTAAAAATCTAGTTTACCAAGGTGCCAATTACTTCACACTGGAAGAAGTTAAGCTACACTAAAGCTACCCTTAAGAAAAATATAGTTTACTTAACTAATGTTACTTTGAAATCTAAACTATTTAGTGAAAAATTTAAATGTAAATTGAAAATGTCAGACTACAATTTGCAAGAACAGATCACTTTGGGGTCATATGGTAACATACTGTAATGTGTAATTTAGCCTATTAAACACGAAAACAATGATTCAAGTGAGAATTACGCAGGCCTGATGCCGAAAAAGAAAGAAAATGATTACGTAGTTCCATTAGTTAGCTACACCGCTAAATGCCAAAAAGTAATTAACTACTAAAAACACTACCTATATTTGAATTTAGTTCAACTACTACCAAGATACTGCAAAATGTAGTTAAATTACTAGTTGAAATATATGTAGTTCACTACTTCCCAACACTGTGGATGGTAATCCTTATCTAAGAATTATGTTATTTTTTATAGTGCATACCATGAGTTTGTTTCAAAGTGCTTCACACAAAAATGATATCTAATCTCACCTCGATTAATAAAGCATCTTGCCTATCAGTCCCATGATGAAGCTTCCCATCTGTCTTCCTTCCTGTCCCATTTCTCTGTTTAGACTTTTACTGTTTCTGAAATATTCTTCTTCTTATTGATTCCTTATTGAACGCCAGAGTTGGTCTCAAATATGAACTGCTACCGTGTCAAATTACATTTGTGTTGAACAAGGACTGACTGAAAGTGTCCCTCACAAAGCCTTTTAGTTTAATGAGGTGGTACAGTATGTTCTTAGTCAGAACACAGGTTTTTCTGACCACCCAGACTGCGCTCCCCCTCTAAGGTCTTGTTCTCTTAAAGTGTTTTCCTCCAAAGGGACTTTCTCATGCCAGTGTCATCCTTGCCTTTGTCTTTTGGTTATTGGTTTTGGAACAAACTATTTGGTGACTAAAAGTATTCAACAAGAGAAGTACATTGTTTGTTATAGTGCATTGTTTGGGTATTATAAATTGTGGTATGTGGTGGAGCAATCGTATGTGTGCGGTCCTGTTTAATTTCTACAATTCTTCAGTCCAAACACATCATAGGACATTCCTGATGTGTGTTTGACTATACAGACTATTGTGTAACCCACCGTCGAGCTCCCCCCTCAGAAGTCCTGCATTTCACGCCGGGCCCCTCAACTTCCTCTCCACACCCTTTAGCAGCTGGAAGAGTGGGGAGAGCTCCAGCAGTTTATCCCACTCTTCCTCTGTATGGGAAACATCATTACAGACAGATAGTGTCCACACATAACAGGTCACACATAAACATTTACATGCCATTATGAGACACTCATAACTTATCTCAGGGCTACATTTACAACAAGTCATCCTTGTGATCTTGTCTGGGAACTTCTGGTATTCATGTCCAAATACTATATGCAGTTATTGTGTTGCCCATAAGGTGGAGACATTGTCAAAGCACATGAGTAGAATTGAAACGAGATTACAATTTCTCTGCACACAGTCATTGTGGAAACAAAATACTAGTCATATTTGTAATAAACACCACATTTCAATATTGTTCTTTACCTGACAGTGTTGGGACACAGACATGACGTCTGAACAGAGTCTTTCATAGGCTGGCCCTCTGAAGGAATGGGATATCATTAGGACTCTTCATAAATATGATCAGCAGAGCCTCTGATGAAGTAAAGGTAATTAATTAATAAATGAATCAATTCATCTTACGTTGTGAGTGTATGTCAGAGATTTCAGTCTTTCTGTGAGTTGTCTGTGTGAGGAGGACTGGGCTGGGGGGACACTGGGGCCCTTAGAATCCTGGTCCTGAGGCTGAGCCTTCATTGGGTATCTCAGAGAATGGGTGGAGATTCCTGCATAGATATCTCTCACTGTTAATGAACTCATCAAAAATAGATCCCTTTTTACTAGACAAGGCAGTGTTATGAACAACGAGCAACCGCAGTTGAATTATCATTTAGCAGACATTTTTTAAGTATATCTGTGACATCCCACAACACCAGTGTTGCCAGTAACATGCTCCAACCAACTGAGCCATCTGAACCACTAGGGCCACCGTCTATTGTGCCTACCTTTTAAACAACGGCACTGACTTGGTCCATGCACGAGAACATATCTCCAATCCAAACGTCTGTTTTATTGACAAACCTACAAACACACATTTGACAAAAAAGCTAAGACAAATATATTCTTATCATCCGAAAAGAAACAGACTGAGAAATGCAACTTCACGCATGCTGAGGTACCAGAGATGCGCTGGCAGTAGGTGCTCGGGGAGAGACTTGGCTGTTTGCTCTCCTCCAGTAGCTGAACGAGTCGCTCCAGGAGAGGCACGGCTTTCTGCTGGGTCAACGACACCACCTTCAGTGGGTTACTGGGGACCGTCGGCCTGGCCAGCCCAAACTCCTTGTACTAGAAGGAACCTGATAACACAGACTGGATAGAAAGATATGCTCAATAGCAACACTAGTCAACTATATTAAAGGGATAGTTCATTCAATAACAAATATAGAGTAAGCTCCAAAAGTATTGGGATAGTGATCAATGTTTTGTGAAATGATACAATGACTATGAGGTTAAAGTTCATCCATATCAGGTAAACCGTTTAGAAATTAGAGAACACTTTTTGTACATAGTCCCTCCGTTTTAGGGGACCAAAAGCCTTAGGACAAATTCACTTATATGTCTATTAAAATAGTACAAAGTTAAGTATTTGTTCCCATATTCATAGCACGCAATGACTACATGAAGCTTGTGATTCTACAAATTGGTTGGATGCATTTGTTTTGGTTGTGTTTCAGATTATTTTGTACCTAATAGAAATTAATGGTAAATAATGCATTATTGTGTCATTTTGGAGTCGCTTTCATTGTAAATAAGAGTAGAATATGTTTCTAAACACTTCTACTGTACATTAATGTGGTTGCTACCATGATTACGGATAATCCTGAATGAATCGTGAATAATGATGAGTGAGAAAGTTAGATGCACAAATATCATACCCCCAAGACATGCTAACCTCTCACCATTACAATAACAGGAAAGGATAGCATTTTTTTTGGAGGGGGGCGGATACAGTGAGGGAAACAAGTATTTGATCCCCTGCTGATTTTGTATGTTTGCCCACTGACAAAGAAATGATCAGTCTATAATTTTAATGGTAGGTTTATTTGAACAGTGAGAGACAGAATAACAACAAACAAATCCAGAAAAACGCATGTCAAAAATGTTATAAATTGATTTGCATTTTAATGAGGGAAATAAGTACTTGACCCCCTCTCAATCAGAAAGATTTCTGGCTCCCAGGTGTCTTTTATACAGGTAATGAGCTGAGATTAGGAGCACACTCTTAAAGGGAGTGCTCCTAATCTCAGCTTGTTACCTGTATAAAAGACACCTGTCCACAGAAGCAATCAATCAATCAGATTCCAAACTCTCCACCATGGCAAGACCAAAGAGCTCTCCAAGGATGTCAGGGACAAGATTGTAGACCTACACAAGGCTGGAATGGGCTACAAGACCATCGCCAAGCAGCTTGGTGAGAAGGTGACAACAGTTGGTGCGATTATTCGCAAATGGAAGAAACACAAAATAACTGTCAATCTCCCTCGGCCTTGGGCTCCATGCAATATCTCACCTCGTGGAGTTGCAATGATCATGAGAACGGTGAGGAATCATCCCAGAACTACACGGGAGGATCTTGTCAATGATCTCAAGGCAGCTGGGACCATAGTCACCAAGAAAACAATTGGTAACACACTACGCCGTGAAGGACTGAAATCCTGCAGCGCCAACAAGGTCCCCCTGCTCAAGAAAGCACATATACAGGGCCGTCTGAAGTTTGCCAATGAACATCTGAATGATTCAGAGGAGAACTGGGTGAAAGTGTTGTGGTCAGATGAGACCAAAATCGAGCTCTTTGGCATCAACTCAACTCGCTGTGTTTGGAGGAGGAGGAATGCTGCCTATGACCCCAAGAACACCATCCCCACCGTCAAACATGGAGGTGGAAACATTATGCTTTGGGGGTGTTTTTCTGCTAAGGGGACAGGACAACTTTACCGCATCAAAGGGACGATGGACGGGGCAATGTACCATCAAATCTTGGGTGAGAACCTCCTTCCCTCAGCCAGGGCATAGAAAATGGGTCGTGGATGGGTATTCCAGCATGACAATGACCCAAAACATACGGCCAAGGCAACAAAGGAGTGGCTCAAGAAGAAGCACATTAAGGTCCTGGAGTGGCCTAGCCACAGGGTTGGAACCAAAAATCTCAAGCGGTTGGAACCAAAAATCTCAAATTTGGACTCATCAGACCAAAGGACAGATTTCCACCGGTCTAATGTCCATTGCTCGTGTTTCTTGGCCCAAGGAAGTCCCTTCTTCTTATTGGTGTCCTTTAGTAGTGGTTTCTTTGCAGCAATTCGACCATGAAGGCCTGATTCACGCAGTCTCCTCTGAACAGTTGATGTTGAGATGTGTCAGTTACTTGAACTCTTTGAAGCATTTATTTGGGCTGCAATTTCTGAGGCTGGTGACTCTAATGAACTTATCCTCTGCAGCAGAGGTAACTCTGGGTCTTCCTTTCCTGTGGCGGTCCTCATGAGAGCCATGTTCATCATAGCGCTTGATGGTTTTTTGCGACTGCACTTGAAGAAACTTTCAACGTTTTTAAAATGTTCCGTATTGACTGACCTTCATGTCTTAAAGTAATGATGGACTGTCATTTCTCTTTGCTTATTTGAGCTGTTCTTGCCATAATATGGACTTGGTCTTTTACCAAATAGGGCTATCTTCTGTATACCACCCCGATCTTGTCACAACACAACTGATTGGCTCAAATGCATTAAGGAGGAAAGAAATTCACACATGTTAATTGAAATGCATTCCAGGTGACTACCTCATGAAGCTGGTTGAGAGAATGCAAAGAGTGTGCAAAGCTGTCGTCAAGGCAAAGGGTGGCTACTTTGAAGAATCTCAAATATAAAATATATTTTGATTTGTTTAGCACTTTTTTGGTTACTAAAAGATTCCATATGTGTTATGTCATAGTTTTGATGTCTTCACTGTTATTCTACAATGTAGAAAATAGTAAAAATAAAGAAAAACCTTGGAATGAGGAGGTGTGTCCAAACTTTTGACTGGTACTGTACATATAAGTGAATTTGTCCCAATACTTTTGGTCTCCTAAAATGGGAAATTCCCTCAAATTAAAGCTGACAGTCTGCATTTTAACGTCATAGTCTTTGTATCATTTCAAATCCAAAGTGCTGGAGTACAGAGCCAAAACAACAAAATATTCGTCACTGTCCCAATACTTTTGGAGCTCACTGTGCATGTTTTCTCCACTGATATCACAAATAAACACTTTTAAATGGTCTGGTTAAGTGGAAAATATTTATCTTTGTCTCACTTTCCCATTCTGGGAGACATCCAAGAGAGCCTCAAAACAATACACCCTCATTTGTGAGTCATTGTGACACATTCATTTCTTATGCATTAACATGCATTTATCTGCAGAAAACGATCTTACTCCCCTTAATAAATAACACAATCCATCTTCACCGTTAGCGTAAAGGGATAAACATTCTAGGGCCGGTTTCCATAACACATATTAAGAATAGTCCTAGACAAAAAAATATTTTTCGTTTTTCTAATGAGCAAGCTTTTTTTGGCTAGGACTAGGATTAATCTTTCTCCGAGAGACCGGCCCCTTATGTTAAATTGAGCTACATCTCTGCGTAATCGGATTGAACTATGACCATGACATGGATTGATGCAGTCTGCTTTATGTGCAAATGTATTTGTGGCCGGAGACAAAGTACAAAGGGGGCCTGTCTCTGAAACTAGTGGACTGCAGCAGGCTGCAAGAATGTGCATTTCCTAATCTCAAGGCTTCTCCTGACTGATAAGACATGATGCAGTAGCATACTGTGTCTCACGTAACAATGTTCTTAAGACTCTCTTCCCACGGGTGAAGGCTTCTCTGCCCAACCTAGCAGGAGAATCTGAGCATTGTCTGCACCCTGGAGACTTTGTGGCGGTAAAAGACTACAGAAGAAAGAGCTGGAAAGACCCTAGGTGGAGAGGCCTGTACCAGGTGTTGCTGACTACCTCGATGGCGGTGAAAGTAGCAGAGAGAGATACCTGGATCCATGTGTCCCACTGTAGGAGAGTTCCAAACCCAGAAGAGAAAGATGGCCCCGCCACTGCGTAGCATTGTTTTCTTTTATGTCTGTCTGTGTCTGTGTGTCTTTGCAGCAGTGACTCTCGGCTTCCCTATTGGTACGCTGCCAGAAGGACACACTCCACAGATCGATGTTGATAAAATGAGAAAGACTCTGCCTGAGCTGTTAAGACGGACCACCAATTATCCCAACACTTCTACTCTACTGACAGCATTATATACAAGGAAATTCTCCAAGCTGCTAATGTGAACCTTGACGACCTTTTACCTAGCCGGTGGGGATTCCGGTGGGATACCCCCACCCAGGTAGTGGCAGTGCTGGCAACACTGGCTGCAGTAACCCATGGGGAGGGAGTCACACTTGGACAATCAGAGAGGGGGTTTATCATTGTGGCCCAGGTGGCACAAAGTAATCAAAGGTCTGACTGCACAGAGATGTTTGGGAAAAATGGTTACAACGGGGGACCAGAGTGTTTGTGTCTCAGGGAAGAGGGTGGATCTGATCTCCATCACCTAGGACTTGACATAGATTAAGTAGATTAATCAAATCTGACATTGTTGTCAATTTCTGCTCAATCTTGCATGCTTTCTCAATCAGCTGTAACTGTATGTGCACTCGTAAATCAGGTCCTTTCTTGAGTTGGGCTCTGGGATATAACAACCGTTGAGAATCAGATTTTATGGTGGATTGTGGAGGAGGGGGGATGAGTGTGTTGGAGTATGTGAGTATGTGCGTGTGTGTTTGTCCGACATCTGTTGTGGGGGGGTGGGGATGTTGGGGGGGGGGTACGGGATGTACCACGGTAATTATTTGCTAGGATAATAATTGCTTGTCAATAAATTAAATGTAATACAATGGCAATTATATGTTATATGTTAAAATCCTACGTATGAACTGCCAACATTATTACGCATATTAATTGATAATGATGGAAAATAAGATATCCAAGATATTTGAATAGATATATATTTTTAAATAGTTATATATAGAGGTGACAGCATTGGAAATGCTTTTGGCGGTTAATCTGCTTCTGTTTTGTGCGTGGCATAGTGTGCTGTTTTCGATGGATGGGTCCTGGCCTCTCGGGGCCCTAGGGATCCGGAGGGATGTGGGTGGGATGCCGATCACTGGGATGACGGCTCAACTTGGGATGGGGAGGGGCTTTAGCGGGGGAATTAGTGGAGAACAATTGAAGGGATACTTAGTAGCAATGCAAATATCATGGTACAGCTATATGGACACTCAATCATTACAGGTTTTTTTATGGTAAATTTACAAACATATATAATGATAAATAGACTTGAAACTTGTATCTCATTATGGTGTATGGTGAAATAAGTATAGCCAGTTATAATTGTAATGGCTTAGCTGATAATAACAAAAGAAGAACAATATTTACATGGCTCAAAGAAAAGGAATATAATATCTATTGTTTACAGGAAACTCATTCAACAATTCTAGATGAAGTTGTGTGGAAAAAGGAATGGGGGGGGCGAAATATACTTCTCCCATGGGCAAAGAAATTCAAAAGGGGTGATGATATTAATTAATAGTAATTTCGATCCAAATGTGCAAATTGTCCAAATAGATACGCAAGGTAGATGGATTATTTTAAATATGTTATTGGACAATAAACAGATATGGCTCATTAACATTTACGGACCAAATAATGATGATCCACACTTCTTTGACAATATATATAATAAATTATCAACCCTGCAAGCAATTCAAGACAATATTATTATGGTGGGGGATTATAATACTGTTTTAAATAGCTCAATGGACCGTAAAGGAAATCACACCACAAACAATCAACCACATGCTCTTAAGGAAATCGTGAATGTCATGGATACATTAGAACTAGTAGATGTATTGGAGGCTTAAATATCCTGATCTAGTGAGATATACATGGCGGAGACTCAATCAAGCTAGTCGTCTTGACTTCTTTCTTATCTCATTCTCGTTGGCGCCAAAAGTTTAAAAAAGTGTTGATAGGGGACAGAATGCGGTCGGACCATCATAGAATTGGCATATACATTACTCTTACTGAATTTCCACGTGGGCGAGGATAATGGAAATGTAATTAAAGCCTATTGGATGATAATTTATTTTTTACTTGGATAAAGGAATTTATAACTTACTTTTTCCGACATAACTTAGGTACAGCAAATCCCCTTATTGTATGGGACACCTTTAAATGTGGCTTTAGAGGCCATGCAATTCAGTACTCATCTCGAAAACAAAAGCAATTTAGGTCAAAAGAGTTTATACTAACAAAGGAAATAGAAAGTAACAGAACAGATAGATGGCAATAAAAACTGTAACATAGAGGCTCAGAATAAATTAGAGGAAAAACAAAAAGAAATTGAGAAACGTATTCAAGAAAGATCAAGTGTAATATATCCCTATTTGTAAGTCGCTCTGGATAAGAGCGTCTGCTAAATGACGTAAATGTAAATGTAAATGTTATAAAAATTGTCACGATCGTTCATGAACGGGTCAGACCAAGGCGCAGCGTGATATGCATACATGTTTATTAGACTTATAAACACAACGACAAAACAAGAAACGAAACGAAACGTGAAGTCCAAGGTACACAAACAACATACCTAACACGGAACAAGATCCCACAACCCACTAGTGCCAATAGGCTGCCTAAGTATGGTCCCCAGTCAGAGACAACGGGCTACAGCTGCCTCTGATTGGGAACCACACCGGCCAACATAGATCTAGACGTACTAGATCTAAACCTAGAAAATACAACATAGAACATCACGACATAGAAAGTCACACCCTGACTCAACAAATAAGAGTCCCCAGAGTCAGGGCGTGACAGTACACCCCCCCCCCCCCCCCCCAAAGGTGCGGACTCCGACCGCACAACATTTACTTAACATGGTAGGGGCCGGGTGGGCATTCCGCCATGGAGGCGGATCCGGCTCCTATTCTCCGCCTTCCTGTTGCGCCCCTGGTCTGGTCTGGACCTCGGCGCGCTGCTTCCCCTCTCCTTCCTCCCACTATACTCCAAGCCCTGTCTGGACCCTGGTGTGGGAGATCCCGAACCTGGAGAGGGGCTGACGACTGGGTCTGGACTGGAGCCGCTGACCGGAGCTGGACCAGGCACTGGTGGAGCGGACTGCTCTGACTCCGGACTGGAGCTGCTGACTGGTGCCGGACCAGGCACCGGTGGAACGGGCACGGGTCGTGCCGGACTGGACACACTCACCACTGGTCTGGTGCGAGGAGCAGGCACGGGCCGAACCAGACTAGGAACATGCACCACTGGCTTGGTGCGAGGGGCAGGAACAGGCCGGGCCGGGCTGGCGACGCGCACTACTGGCTTGGTGCGAGGGGCAGGAACAGGCCGGGCCGGGCTGGCGACGCGCACCACTGGCTTGGTGCGAGGGGCAGGAACAGGCCGGGCCGGGCTGGCGACGCGCACCACTAGCTTGGTGTGAGGGGGAGGAACAGGCCGGACCGGGCTGGCGACGCACACCACAGGCTTGGTGCGAGGGGCAGGAACAGGCCGGGCCGGGCTGGCGACGCGCACCACTGGCTTGGTGCGAGGGGCAGGAACAGGCCGGGCCGGGCTGGCGACGCGCAACACTGGCTTGGTGCGAGGGGCAGGAACAGGCCGGGCCGGGCTGGCGACGCGCACCACTAGCTTGGTGTGAGGGGGAGGAACAGGCCGGACCGGGCTGGCGACGCGCACCACTGGCTTGGTGCGAGGGGCAGGAACAGGCCGGGCCGGGCTGGCGACGCGCACCACTGGCTTGGTGCGAGGAGGAGGAACGGGCCGGGCCGGGCTGGCGACGCGCACCACTGGTTTGGTGCGAGGGGCAGGAACGGGACGGGCCGGGCTGGCGACGCGCACCACTGGCTTGGTGCGAGGAGCAGGAACGGGCCGGGCCGGGCCGGGCTCGTTCCACCAGTCCGCTCCACCGGTGCCTGATCCAGCTCCGGTCAGCGGCTCCACTCCGGAGCCAGAGCAGTCCGCTCCACCAGGGTCATGTCCAGATCCGGTCAGCGGCTCCACTCCGGAGCCAGAGCAGTCCAATCCACCGGTGCCAAGTCCAGCTCCGGTCAGCGGCTCCAGTCCGGAGCCTGAGCAGTCCGCTCCACCGGTGCCCGGTCCAGCTCCGGTCAGCGGCTCCAGTCCAGACCCAGACGTCAGCCCCTCTCCAGGTTCAGGGTCTCCCACACCAGGGTCCAGACAGGGCTTGGAGTATAGTGGGAGGAAGGAGAGGGGAAGCAACTCCCACCCGGCCCCTACCCT